ATAAGTACGTATTTAGCTGTAAATTCAAATGATGATCCCACTTGCTGTTTTGACTTTCTGTGTTCCTTTTTTAAACTTATTCACCGTTCTCTTGATGGTTCTTGAATGGATTTTGAAGTTGGAGGCCAGAGTATGAATGTTCGTACCCTTAATGAAGGCCTGAATGATCTTTTTCCTCTCAGCATTGCTCAGTTGAGAAGACATAATGGGTCTGCCACAAAACGATTTTAACCTATTCTCTTTATAGCTGAATAACTCAAAGGGTTTTCCAGTGATTCTTATGAAAAATTGTATCAAGCTGGCTAAACGTCTTCACTGAAAACCAGGAAAAAAGAAACTCAATTAGTTTAGTTAAACATTTTATGGCATGGACAATTATTCCATGCTGTTATACAATTTGTACAATTTTGCTGTTACTCCCTGTATATGTATATATCATGCATATTTTTGCATCAACTATTCTTATACATCGTTCTCGTGATGATACTTGAATAGACTTTGACGTCAGAGTAGTGATGTCATTACTGAAGGCCTGAATGATCTTTTTCCTCTCACCATTGCTCAGTTAGGAAGATATAGAGGTGCTGTCACAAAACGATTTTTAACCTGTTCTCTTTATAGCTGAATAACTTAATTTGGTTGTTCAGTTATTGTTACGAAGAAATGTTATCAAGATGGCTATATATCTTATCTGAATACTTTGAAAAAAGAAAATCAGTTAGTTTAGTGTGTATTTTTAGATATTAAATATTTTGTAGGATGAACAATTATCCGATGTTGTTACGCGATTTGTACAATTTTGCTGTTTTTGTTTTGTTTGAGATGCAAACGTTAGGCCTGAGAGCTGCATCTAGCAGGAAACAGACTGACGATTGCATCTCGCATGAAACAGACTGTCACTTCTAAGTGTTGACTTCTATGTCCATATATATATATATATATATATATATATATATATATATATATATATATATATATATATATATCTGTTGTCATCCACTGACAGACGGTTTCGATATTGATGTTTCGCCAATTAGTGAGTGTCATTTTGTTTAAATAAAATCAGATTAGAATAACATAATTAGATATCAATATTTAATAATCTCGATCTGCCCCCACCTCTCTCTCTCTCTCTGTCTCTCTCTCTCTGTGTCTCTCTCTCCGAATGCGGGAGTAATAAATTTGAAAGAACATTCTTTGGTTGAATAAAACGTAAATTGAACATCTTGATCCCAAACCTGCTCATCATTGTAAAGGGAAAAGATTGATGCACCTATCTTGACAGTGAAACACGGATTTAGATGGTATCGCCTATCGGAATATTTCTTTTACAATGGTATAGAAAAAGCTCAGGGGTGGGTTAAGTGGGGAGCTATTGAAACGCTGTATTGAAGTATTTTGAAAGCCGATTTGTTCTCTTCAATGCAAGAGTTCAAGAACTTTCAAGAGAATAAACGCCCCAAAACATGCAGCTAAAGTAAATCGCGAATTTTTCAGAACAATATAGAGAGCTGCTTCGATGAAAGATTCATCTCATGACAATTGGACCAAAATCCAATTGAAAATGTATGGAAAGAACCCAAGAAATATTAACGATTCGAAGGCCGTTTATAAGGAAGTAAACTGGATTTTGAAAAGAACCATGCGAACGGCTTTTAAGCAATTATAAGAGTATCTCCAAGCATTTAATTCAAGGTAGTGCTATGAAACAAATTATTGAAATATGAAATCAAGTAGTTTTTTTTATATTTGATTCTGTATTGAATATATGAATATATTCATTATTTACATTATTCGGACTATTATCCTCATCTTCAATATCTGTCTATATTTCTGAGATGAGGTATTATATACAATATTTACATTATTCGGTCTATTGTCCTCATCTTTGTTGCCATATTTATTACAACGTTTCGGCCCTTCAGTATCTGTCTGTATTTCTGAGATGAGGTATTATATACCCTATTTAAATTTTTCGGACTATTTTCCTCATTTTTCTGCCATATTTATCACAACGTTTCGGCCCTTCAGTATCTGTCTGTATTTCTGAGATGAGGTATTATGTACACTATTTACATTATTCGGACTATTATCCTCATCTTTGTGGCCATATTTATCACAAAGTTTCGGCCTTTCAGTATATGTCTATATTTTTGAGATGAGGTATTATGTATATTATTTACATTATTCGGACTATTGTCCTCATTTTTGTTGCCATATTTATTACAACGTTTCCGTTATTGTACGCTTCGGCCTTCTGTAAGTGTTTGGAATGTCGTACTGAACCCATTATTTCGTTCATTTTTATGTTATAATTTTCGAATAAATGATTATATTTGCTCTACTCTGTATTGAACACTCTTTTAAGTATAGTATTTATTGGTTATTGGAATTTATTTCGTATACACTAATCCTATAACTGGGTATATATATATATATATATATATATATATATATATATATATATATATATATATATATATATTCATTCTTCATCTTT